TGGAACAGACACAAGCTGTGGGATTTTGCAAGATCCTCTAGGCTGGTAGCGTTGAACGGGAGAGGGTCTGCTGTGGCTGTGAGGTAGTTGTGGTCTGCAGACAGCCCGCGTTCCGAAGTGAGACGGGCCATGTGGAGGAAGGAGGGCAGCTCTCCCGTCAGCTGGTTGTGGTCAAGGCGGCTGTGATGCCACGGGAAGGCGGGAGGGGTAGGGGTGGGAAGCCAGAGGAGTGCTTAGGAATGGGAGTGTTGGGAAAGATGGAGTGCAAGAAAGGGGGAGTGATGAGACAGGAGTAGGATTTTGAGTGATCAAATCTTGAGTCTTCAAACCCAATTTTCATATGTCAGCGCTGAATGATTCCTCTCATCATTTCTAAGGCGTGGACAAGGCGCTGAGGAGGAGGAAGAATCCCAAATGGTTCAAAGTATGAGCACGACAGGGCTCTACAGGAACGATGGTAGACTTAGGAGAGGAGAGGAAGTGGTGTTATTAGAGCAGGTGGCGTTATGGGCGCAGGCGGTGGGAGTAGGAAGGCATTCACTCAGAAAGATGACGAGGTTTACACCCTTCAAGTCAATGCGGCCTTCAGCAAGTAGAAAAGAAGACACGTGTGGGCGGCAGAAAGAAAACGAGCTGCTGCGAGCAGTAGGAGTGGCGTTTCAGAGAGAAGAAGAGGTGTGTAGCAGTAGTGCTGACAGTTGCGAACTATTTGAGGTAACAACCATAGCATGGCAATACGTAGCAGTCACCCTGACTATGCAAAATATATTGGTATAATTTTGTACGCATGAACTTTCAGACCAGTACTTACACTTCCTCTTGGCAGGAGATTGATGTTTGACTTTTAGTAATTGCCCCCGATTTTGTCTCCCTAAGCCTGATGAATTTGCTTAACACCCTAATCTATCTGCTCCCCTTATATTCCACACCCCGTTCGAATGCAAAAACTGGGATTAACCATTAAGTTGAGGGTAGTTTAGGGTATTTGAGGGTAGTTTAGGGTAGTTTAGGGTAGTTTAGGGTAGTTTAGGGTAGTTTAGGGTAGTTTAGGGTAGTTTAGGGTAGTTGAGGGTAGTTTAGGGTAATTTAGGGTAGTTTAGGGTAGTTTAGGGTAGTTTAGGGTAGTTTAGGGCCACGAGCTGGCTAAGAAAATTGTCATTGTAATGGCCCACGAAATGTGTGGCGCGGTCTGCTTACACGTTACAGCTCTTCGCATTCGCCAGACCCGACCATTTGGTCGGCTATTAGGCCTGGTCGGTACAATGTTACATGGCCTAACACTGACAGGTATTCGAGATTAATGAGAGTGGTGATTGCAGCAGGTATCGTCCCCGCAAGGCAATTGGTGCTGAGTTCCCTGAAGACAGGTGAATGGATGGACGTGGAGGGAAGGGGGGATGAAGAGGGGATGATGTGATGAGGAAGAGGCAAAGAAAGGAAGAGGGGAAGAGGAGAAGAGGAGAAGAGGAGAAGAGGGTAGGAGGAGAGGGGGAGAGATGAATTGGAAGAGCCAAGAAGAGAAGGGAAGGCAGAGATGGTGCCTTGGAAAGTGTGAGTGCAGTTGCTGAAAGTTGTGTGCCTTGAGAATCACACACCTGCAGCAGCTGACGGAATTGAAGGCAACAGAAAGTGCCTCCGTATTCTCCTATTTTTGCCCTCGTCTCCCCTCCCTCCCTCTCCCTCCCTCTCCCTCCCTCTCCCTCACTCTCCCTCCCTCTCCTTCCCTCTCCCTCCCTCCCCCTTCCTCCCCCTCCCTCTTCCTCCATCTCCTTCCCTCTCCCTCCCTCTCCCTCAAACGGTCCTTTGTATTGATTCAGCAGGGGTACAAAAACATGCAGTGCAATCCATGATAACCTCCTTCCCTTAAGCCCCTTAGCTCACCCCTCTTCCCCCCCCCCCCCTGCCTGCGTGACCCTCTAGCCCTCCAGCGTGTGGAGGATGTCCCCCAGGTGCAGTGGCCAGGGGTCCGCTGCCATCTGGGGGTGCGCTGCCTCGATCCCTGCCCTGGCCTTGGTGTGCAGGGCATTCGCTTGGGAGCGCTGGAGGGCCACTGACCAGCGTTGGCTGAAGTGGCAGGCCATCTTCTTGGCCGATTTGGCCAAGGGGTTGGCCCTGAACCTGTTCCTAGCCGCTGCTGTGGCCAGCAGCTTAAGGAACGCTGTCGTGGGGGGCGCGTTTGCCCCGTATGTCTCGACGGCCAGGGCGCAGAACACCACGTGTTCGGTGTGCCTGTAGTAGTCCCTCTCCTTCCGCCTCTGTGCCTCCCTTGCAGCCCAGCCTGGGGGTTTGCGGGCTGTGGGGTCCCGGTTCTGCAGCACAGGGTCGGTGATAGTCGTGTCTGTGATCCAGGTCTCTCCACTGTCTGGGTCACGCACCATCACATCGGCCTTCTTCGGGTCATCCGGTGGTGAGTACATTGCATTCTCCAGGTATACCACCAGCTGCGCCTCCCTCGCCATTTTTGCCACGGCAAAGGCCAGCTGATTGTGTGTGCGCGTTCTGTCCGGGCCTGTGCTGCAGCGGAGTAGGTGGTTGGGTAGGCTGCAGTCGGCCACGAGCTCTCCACACTCGCACACGGTAGGTATGTTCTGTCGGATGCCCATGCGGAAGGCCAGGGCTGTTCGGAATTGCCCTGGTGAGAAGCAGAGGTCTGGGGTCAGGGGTAGGGCTTGCAGCCATGCTCCCGCTCCCTCGCCTCTCAGGCTGACGAGGCGGAGCGTGTGGCCCATCTCGGGGGCTGACCTGATTGAGCGTGATTCCTCTGTCAGGGTGTCGGCCTTTGCCGCGTGCACTTCCTGAGAGAGGGCCCGCTGCAGCTGGTCTTAGGGACGGGGTTTCTTGCTCCTCACGGAGGTATTGCAGCGCCAGCGGCGGCAGTCGTCCCTCCATGTCTTGGATGGTGACCGAGTGTGCCGCAGACGGCTGCAGGGCGTTGCTGTTGCTCCCTAGCGCCGCGGTTGCTGGCAGGTCGAGTGAGCGGAGCAGGCGTAGTGCCTCTGTCGTTGAGGCCAGGTAGGCTGGTGCTGCTTCTGTTGTGGGATCCGTGAGGCCCAGTCCACCTAGGGCCACTGGGAGGGTTGCTTGGCGGATGAGAAAATTGAACTCGGCTTCGCGGCGGGGTGGTTGGATGCTGGCGGTAGTCAGGGCGGTGTTGAGCAGTTCGGCGCACCACGCGTGCCATTCCGAGAGGGGAAGGACATCCGCTGGGGTGGTGCGCAGCAAGTAGCCGATTCTGCGGCTGATGCAGCGGGACAGGAGCAGGAGGGCATGCTGTGGATGGATGGATGCTAGGGAGCCCAGGGGTGCCGCCGCGTCTGTCAGAGTACTGCGGACCACGCCAGCGCAGAAGCGCTGTGACCCCACGGGACTTCCCAACACCCGTACCCCCTCGTGGGTGAGTGGGAGGCCCTCGGGGAGCTCGTCACCCTCAAGCGGCGTCGTGGACCACGCCGACGATTTTCTGAGGTTGCAGGTGAGGCCATCCTGGGCGAGCAGCGGCGTCAGTAACTTAAGCGCGCCGAGCGTTGCTGTCGCCGGTCCGATCATGGTGATGTCATCTGCGTATGCTAGGATCGTGACTTCTGGGTGCTCTGCTGCTGTGCGTCTGAGGTGCTGCTGGATTGATGCCGCGAACAGCAGGGGTCCGAGGGGGTCCCCCTGCCTCACCCCTCTTCCGCTGGTAAGTGCCGTCGTGCTCAAGCGGGGATCGGTCAGCAGCTGAGAAGGCGTTGCGTAGAAGGAGCGGGTGAAAGGTATGAGCGGTGCTAGTGGGGTGTTGGTGAGTGCGTTGAAGAACGCTTTCCTCTCTACGGAGTTGAAAGCGTTTTCAATGTCGAGTTGGAGGACTAGGCTGGAAGGTTGTGAAGTGGTGAGGTCTCTGACTGCATGTATAACGAACTCAGCTCCGCCTGGGACTGCCACACCGAATTGTTGGGGTAAGAAAAATCGCCTTGTTTCTCCTTGCAGTTCCGAGAGTGCCACCTTTGCTGCCAACCGGAGTAGGGATTCCCCTATTGCGATAGGGCGTACCCCCCCCCCTGGTTTCGCGAAGGCGATGAGGCGGGATGGCGAGAGTAGTGCTGCAACCTCGGTGGAAAGATTCGTGGAGAGAAGATGTGTTACGGCGGAGTGTAGGTGCCCCAGCACTTCGATGTTGCTTAGGGCTGGGTCGCGGTAGTGTTCAAATGTTGACCCGGATGGACCAGCCCCAACTCCGCTGGGGCAATCCCCAAGGACGTCTGAGAAACTTTCCGCGGTGCACGAAAATTGCGTGGGTGTTGTGTAGGTGTGGACCCAGTCGGGCAGCTCAACTTGGGGTTGGGGATGTTTCAATTCCAACTGCTGCAATGTTGCGATCGTCGCAGGGGCCGCTGGCGAGGGTGAAAGGGCTGCCAACGCTTTTCGCAGGTTACCTCGTTTCACCAGCCCCTCCACACGTGAGCAGATTCCCAGGGGGTCGTTTTGGTGCTGAGGTGGCTCAGCTTGGTGCAGGGACCCCACGTAGTCACTGTAGAGCTGGTTCCAGTGGCCACATCCGAATAGGTGCATCTGCTCTCGCAGCACCTTCCACTTAGAGCTGGACCTCCTGCTAAGTCGTAAGGTGAGACGTGGCAGGAACATGAGGACCCGCCACGCTCCCGCGCAGTTGGGCAATTTGGAGATCCGTAAGAGGGCGGCCAGCATACAGGTGGAGTAGTCGCTTAGTATTTGCGGCGGCAGGCGGCGGACGATAGGCAGGTGGGTGGTTGACGTTAGGGTTGAAGAGTCCCAGCTCGTCGCGATCTCAAAGAGATCCTCCCTCGATGCCAGCTGGGACGCTGACAGGGCTTGGTCCGGAGGGGGTTGGGGTCTGCGGTTCTGTCGGCGTCTAGAATCCCTCTCCTGCTGCTGCGCCTGGTCCTCCCCCGCTTCCGCGAGAGGTGAGTCGGGGTTGTCGGGTTGCCTCAGATCTGACGGTACATATTCGTCGCCGCTCCCTTCTGCGTTTGTATCACCGATTCTCATTGCTTGCGCTGTCGTTCCCCTTCTCCCCCCGCGTCTAGCAAACGACTGGCGCGTGACTCGTTCCGCCGGCTCCCCCAACCAGATTGGGCTCGGTAGTTGGCGCGGATTCCCCCTCGCCGCTTGGCCTGCACTCCGCTGTCCTCCGCGCGCTCCTCGACCCCCGCCTCTCCCCCGCGTGCTTCCCCGTCCGCTCCTCGGAGTGGCTGCCACAGGTGCCGCCTGTTGCGCCTGGGAGATCGGCGTCGTCGGCTCCTCTTGTGGCAGTGGAGCGCCCTGAGCGCTCGCTGATGGATTTCCTCGGCGCTCTGGGCCGCGACTGCACCGCGTAGAGCGATCCCGCTCCCCGTCCGCGTCCTCCTGCACGCCCTGCCGCGAGCGTACCTGTTGCTCCACCGGCGTCCGCTGATCAGATCCGCCGCCGCTTCGAGGACCAGCAGCGCGAGCTGGTTCGGCGCGCGGGCAGGTCCTTGTCACCGCCGGAGCCCCTGCGCGCGGGGTCCGTCTTGCGCTCCGGCGCAGAGGCTGTGGTGCACCAGGAGCGTTCGCCTCGCCGTCGCTCATCGGCAGCTCGCGACGATAAGCGGGAGAGCCGCCGCGATGATCGTCACGGTGCGGCCCGTTCGCCGCTGTCTCCTCGTTCGCCTCGTCGCGTGGCGTCGCGAAGCCGATCCCGTGACCGCCGTTCGCATCGTCATCGTTCGCCCCCTCCTCGTTCATCTCGCCAGCGGTCGCCTGCCCGCCAAACGTCTGGGCGTCGGCCCCCAGCTCCGTGTTCGCCCCCTTCTGCAAAGCGCCAGCGGCTCTACTCCCCACGTCGCGGGGACCGTTTTCCTGGCCGCCAGCGTCAGCAGGGCCCATCTCGCCCGCAGTCGCCTGTGCACTCGAGCGCAAGTGGGCGTGTGCGTCGTGGGCGACGGGGGGGTGACAGTCGCGGCGGAAAAGCGGGTCCAGCGCCGTCCGCAATGGAGCGCCGTCTTCTGGATAGGCTTGATGACGTGGAGAAGGAGCTTCGTCGCTCGCGTGCTGGGTCGGCGTCACCATCAGCTCCTCGCGCTGCTCCCGTCGTCCCTCTCTCCGCGCTCCTGCCCCACAATCCCTTTGGATCCCCGGCGCGTTCGGAGCGGCCGCTGCCTGCGGGGACGGGCTTCGTAGGTGCTGGTGGCGGGCCGCCGTGGGCTCAGTTTGCTCCGCCGCGTCCTCTTCCTGCTCCGCGTGATCTCGCCGTGTCGTCTCACCGTGCCCGCGCGTATGCGTTGCTTCCGCCGATGAAGGAAGTTCCCACGGCGACCCTGGCCCGCCTATGGTCGCTGGCGGCGTCCCTGCAGAGCCTTGAGCGGATTCTCCAGGAGTCATTTGACTCCATGCCGGTGAGCCCTCCGAGCAGGTTCTCTCAGAAACCGCGAGCAGATTGTCATGCGGCGGCGTCAGCGCTATTCGCGCTCGTAACGCCACTGCAGGTAGCGCCCTCGCCGGGAGCAACCTCGGCCAGCCAGCTGGCTGACTCGGCCCTGGCTCTGAGGACGCTTGTAGCAGGCCCTGGTACTCCTGTTGACGTTGTAGGCGCCACCGTGTCTGTGGTCCGCCAGTTGTGGTTGAACACGAGCGGAATGCTCGCTGCGGTAGAGGCGGACCGCATGTAGGCGCTCCCCCCTTGCGCGTATAGACCCGTTCCATCCTCTACTTGCTAAGTGTCTATGCTTGCTTTGTTTGTATCGGTTGCCTAAGCTACTATTGCTTGTTGTTTCCCCTTGCCATCCCTAACGCGCGGCCGAAGGCCGCGCACGCGAGCGCCGGTTTTCAGCACTAACTGAAAGAATGAGAGATGGAGAGGCCGCCGTGGCCTTAAGTAGTCATGGCAGAGGGTAGAAGGGGAGAGGCTAATCCTCTCTCTCAAGCGGTCCGTGTATTAGATCCGAGCAAGGTACAGACATGCACAAGGATATAAGAAGCAATGCATCTCAGCTTCTAAAACCCCCACATCCTACCTACCCTCCTTCACCCTCTAAGGCAGCTCCAATGCCGGCTCCAGGATGGCAAGGCAGTCCCCGAGGGACATTCCTTCGCCCGGCAGCGCCACAGGTGGGTTCTCCACCTGAGCCGCGTAGTTGCACTTCGTCATGAAGCTCACTGACTGCGCCCGCTGCAGCGCCACGGACCACCGCTGGCGGAACTGGTGCAGCAGCTTTGTTGCCTGGTAAGATGAGGGGGCCGCGTTGAAGAGCCGGCGCGCGCCGGTGTCGGCCAGAAGTTTGAGGAATTGAGGGACCTCCGCGCAAGGACAGCCATAGGTATCAACGGCAAGGGGGAAGAACCCGACCCACGAGGCCGTTGAGCCCTCGTAGTCGGAGATCTCTCTCTCTCGCTCTCTCTCGCTCCCTCTCCCTCCCTCTCCCCCCCTCCCCCTCCCTCTCCCTCCCTCTCCCACCCTCTCTCTCCCTCTCCCTCCCTCTCCCTCCCTTTCCCTCCCTCTCCCCCTCTCCCCCTCCCTCTCCCTCCCTCTCCCACCCTCTCCCTCCCTCTCCCTCCCTCTCCCTCCCTCTCCCTCCCTCTCCCTCCAACGCCCCCCCTCCCCCTCCCTCTCCCTCCCTCTCCCTCCCTCTCCCTCCCTCTCCCTCCCTCTCCCTCCCTATCCCTCCCTCTCCCTCTCTCTCCCTCCCTCTCCCTCACTCTCCCTCCCTCTTCCTCCCTCTCCCTCCCTCTGATTCCGATCCTCATCCTACCCACCCTCTCAAACCCCCGATGCTTGGCAGAAAGAGGCAGGCGGAACGAAGGGATGGAAAGAGGGGGGGTGGAGGGGAGGGAAATTGGGCGCACAAGTAGGTGAGTGCGGTGAGGTGACCAATGCAGGAAGGAATGGTGCCACTCAGCCTGTTGCTTCTCAGATCCCTGCCATGGGATATCATGGGATGGGATGGGATGGGATGGGATGGGATGGGATGGGATGGGATGGGATGGGATGGGATGGGAGATGGGATGGGATGGGATGGGATGGAATGGGATGGGATGAGTTGAGATCAGCCCCATAGATTGGTTCTGGAGCAGGATGAAAATTGGCAAAAAATGCCACTTCACATTTGAGGATCGCTGAATATTCCTGGAAAAAAAGGAAGCTGATAATTCAGCTCTGGCAGGCTGAACTTGCTTAAAAAACTGAAACCTGAGGGCCTCGACATGATTAGATGGGATGAAATGGTATCGAATGGGATGGGATGGAATGTTATGGGATGGGATGGAATGGTATGGGATGGATGGGCAGGCCATTAGCCCATATGAATGTCCCCACTCACTCTCTCATCCCCTCACCCACTCACTCACTCACACTTGATGGGATGGGATGGGATGGGATGGGATGGGATGGGATGGGATGGGATGGGATGGGATGGGATGGGATGGAATGGGATGGGATGGGATGGAATGGTGGGATGGGATGGGATGGGCTGCACAAGCTACAACTCCCCATCACCACTCACAACCGCTGTAACTGCGTGAGGCTGCTGATTGCCTCTGGAATGGAGCCTGAGAGACCGCTCTGATATAGTACCCTGGAGCATGGGGAGGTTGGGCGGACGCCGGAAGGGAGGCGATGCGAAGGGAGGTGAGGGAGCAGTGCAGATTTCTGCTCTTTTGTAAATAATGATCCGAGCTGCCTTGTGCAACGTGGTGGTGTTACACTGAGTGATCACTTTACTACTGAGTGAAAAGCATGCAGTGTTTTGGAAAATACTTGCTGATAACACAGGGCATTGACACACAGTGCGGAGGATGGGAGAGAGGGGGTTGGAGGGAGAATGGGAGAGAAAGGGGTGAAGGGAGAATGGCCACACAGGGAGGTGAGTGCGGTGAGGCGGGCAATGAAGGCGGGAATGGTGCCACTCATGCTGAAGCAGTTCAGCCACCTGCCATGTGGTGGCATGGGATGGGATGGGATGGGATAGGATGGGATGTGATGGGATGGCATGGGATGGCATGGGATGGCATGGGATTGAAGATCAGGAATGGCATGTGTGGCAGCCCATGGCCAAGGTATAGCATGTATAGCATGTATAGCATGTATAGCATGTATAGCGTCGTGGATGTGTTGCACTGGGTACTGGAGAAGCTCTGTACCACAAGCTACGTTACTGGAGAAGCTCTGTACCACAAGCTACGTTACTGGAGAAGCTCTGTACCACAAGCTACGTTACTGGAGAAGCTCTGTACCACAAGCTACGTTACTGGAGAAGCTCTGTACCACAAGCTACGTTACTGGAGAAGCTCTGTACCACAAGCTACGTTACTGGAGAAGCTCTGTACCACAAGCTATGTTACTGGAGAAGCTCTGTACCACAAGCTACGTTACTGGAGAAGCTCTGTACCACAAGCTACGTTACTGGAGAAGCTCTGTACCACAAGCTACGTTACTGGAGAAGCTCTGCGGATTGATTCCGAGAATTCTCACAATCAATCTACCGGAGAAGCTTCAGTCAAACGAGCCAGGTTACTGGAGAAGCTCCAAAGGGGGAAAAAGACTCGCAGTCACACAAACACGAGAACTCTAGCGAAGTTCAATTGCAGAGGCACAAGAGGCATTCGAAAAGGACTCCAGGACTCAAAATGCACTATCAGTATCCCATTGTCATATCACACGAAACGATGCACATCCCTCTTCCGTACAGATTTTCCAGGTTGGTGAGCGCTCCTATTGCCTCGGGGATGGACCCTGACAGATCGTCCTCCTCAAGGACTCTGCAATCAAGTGCGGCACAGTGCGGTGAAGTGTGGCGCAGAGAGAATGGTGGGGAGGAGCGGAGGAGGTTGGGTGTGGGAAGGTTGATAACGCATTGCCTCACATGCATCCCCTGTGCATTGCAGCACCAACCTCGCAGCACCGTCAGTGCATATACCTGCAGTGCATGTGTCTGCGCTGCATGTGTCGGCAGCAGTGCATGTATCCGCGCTGCATGTGTCTTGCAATACAGCACTCACAACTCCCTTAGCTGCTTGAGGCTGCTGATTGCCTCTGGAATGGAGCCCGAAAAAATGTTTTTCTGGATAACTCTGATGCATTGTGACGGTTGGGCGGAAACAGGGAAGAGGGACGTGCAGAAGGGAGGGGAGTTATTGGAAAGACTTTTGAGACGTCTCAAAAGGAAACAGGGAAGAGGGACGTGCGAAGAGGGCCGTGCGAAGAGGGCCGTGCAGTAGGGAGGGGAATTATTGGAAAGCGAAGGCCGGAAGGGTAGGTGTGGGTAAGAGGAGAGAATAGAAGCGGGAAGATGAAAAGGGAGTCGAATAAGCTGTTGGGTGCAATGCAGAGTTGTGTACTGTTGAATGCAGATTCTGGAATGAGAGCAGTCTCATGCGAACTAGAATTGTATGATGGACTAGCATCTTAGAAGTGCAAAGAAGGTAGGTGAGATAAGGGGGGACAAGGGCACGCTTGTTATGGAAAAGGATGTTCGATGGGGCGTGGTGCATGGCAGGTGGTGCATGGCAGATGGTGCATGGCAGCACGCACAGTGAAGTCAAGTCTGTGAGGCTGAAGATCCACGCAGGCACCCCCCCGGACAGTTGATGATTCGTCAAGTGCCTGATGATGGAAGCAAGCGAGGGGAGAGGGCAGCAGCCATGAGAGGAGCAATCAAGAGGCAAGGAGCAGGGAAGTTATAGGAATAATGGGTATGTGGAACCCACGAATAGGGGATGTGCAAGGTGAAAACGAAGAGTGAGGAGAACAAAAGAAAGGAGCGGGCATGGCAAGCATGAAAATTTCCCTCATATGCTGCAGTGTCATGAATGATGCTTCACATGCCCTTCAGGCTTCACACATCTCCTAGGGTGTCATCACATGCCATCACATGCCATCCCATGCCATCACATGCCATCACATGCCATCCCATGCCATCACATGCCCCTCACCCGGCCTTACAGAGACTGCAGCTTCTGCAGCTGGGAGAGCCCGACTGGTAGCGACTCCAGTCGGTAGTTCCCCTCCAAACTCCTGCACGCACCAGCCATGCACCAGCCATGCACCAGCCATGCACCAGCCATGCACCATGCATGCACCACGTATGAACATCCATGCACCACGGACATGGACAGTTAAGAAACATCCGAGGGTGCTGCAGGGGGGAAGGGGGCTGTTGACGAGATGCTGCAGGAGAGAACCGAGTGGCGGGAGATGGGGTGTGAGGGGCGAGATGGGGTGTGAGGGGCGAGATGGGGTGTGAGGGGGCAGAAGGGCAGACATGGGGTGGACACAAATTCCGGTGGAGGAACAACTCTGTAAGCCTCAACTTGCTCCACCACTTGCACTCATTCTCTCTCCTCACTCATTCACATGCCATCACATGCCCCTCACCCTGCCTTACAAAGACTGCAGCTTTTGCAGCTGGGAGAGCCCGTCTAGTAGTGAGGTCAGTAGATAGTTGTTCGACAAACTCCTGCTTGCACCATGCATGCACCATGCATGCACCATGCATGCACCATGCATGCACCATGCATGCACCATGCATGCACCATGCATGCACCACGCATGCACCATGCATGCACCACGCATGCACCATGCATGCACCACGCATGCACCATGCATGCACCACGCATGCACCATGCATGCACCACGCATGCACCATGCATGCACCACGCATGCACCAGGCATGCACCACGCATGCACCATGCATGCACCACGCATGCACCATGCATGCACCACGCATGCACCATGCATGCACCACGCATGCACCATGCATGCACCATGCATGCACCATGCATGCACCATGCATGCACCATGCATGCAACATCCATGCACCATGTATGCAACATGCATGCACCATGTATGCAACATGCATGCACCATGTATGCAACATCCATGCACCATGTATGCACCATGCATACACCATGTATGCAACATCCATGCACCATGTATGCAACATCCATGCACCATGTATGCAACATCCATGCACCATGTATACAACATCCATGCACCATGTATGCAACATCCATGCACCATGTATGCAACATCCATGCACCATGTATGCACCATGCATGCACCATGTATGCAACATCCATGCACCATGTATGCAACATCCATGCACCATGTATGCACCATGCATGCACCATGTATGCAACATCCATGCACCACACCACGGCGGAATGGAGTGGGGAGTAGCAGGCAGTGCAGGTGGGAGCACGGAGATAATGGCAATGGGGTGTGAGGGGGCAGATGGGGTGTGAGGGGCCAGATGGGGTGAGGAACAACGCTGTAAGCCTCCTCTTGCTCCACCACCTGCACTTATTCTCTCACACCACTAATTCACTTACCTCTCACCATCTCACCCACCCACTTACCTCTCACCCTCTCACCCACCCACTCACTCCCCCCCTCTACGTGCTGCACCCCTCCCCCCAAGCACACTCACAGGCGAGTGAGCTGCTGAAGATTGCTGAGCCCTTTGAGATCAATGCGATGGGCTGCGCTGTTGCATGGTGGGGTGGGGGCCATGGCAGGCACGAATAGGAGAAGGAAACGAGGGGAGCGGGCAGGGAGGGGAGAAAAAGGGAAAGAGGGGAAAAACGGAAGAAGTGGAGTGGATTTGATGTGCCGGAGAAGGGGGGTGCAGGTAGATTGGGAAAACAAAAGAGGGCGGGTGATGGCAAACAGGCGGAGCAGTTGGGCATGCAGTTGGGCGTGCAGTTGGGCGAGCAGTTGGGCGTGCACTTGGGCATGCACATGCAGGTGGTAGTGTGACGGCCCGTGACAGAGAGAAGAGGGAGGGAGGTGCATGAGAGAGTGGAACTGACATGGGTTCGGGGAGCACGCGAAGGCCGCAACACTCCAATTCCCTACAGGTAGCCGGCACATGCAAAGACGGAGAAGGGGCAGTAGAAACATGGGTGGGTGTTGGAGATAACAGGGGTAAGGGAAAAAGGAAGGACAATGGGGTGGGCCCTGAATCACAGTAAAGGGGGAGAGGCACAAGAGAGGGCCGATGTGGGCGAGGCAAGATGAGAGAATAGAAGAGAAGGCAGGCAAGACAGGGCAAGACAGGACAAGCCGTGTTGAACCAACCGAATGCAGGTCAGTCACCTGCACGTCAATGAAGACTGCCCAAGCGAGCTTCAGTCAGTACAAGCAAGGACCAATCTTTGCAAGCAAGGGGCAATTCACTGCACGCAAAGGAGTTTCACTACAAGCAAGCAAGGGAAAGTTAGCAGGGGAAAGTGGGAATAGAACGCATGAGCGCGTGAGGCCCAGTGCGCAACGAGAAACGCAGTAGCAACGATAATAGCAGGAGTCTCACAGATCCTTGAGATGGGACAATGCGAGGAGAGCAGTGGGCAGGGAGCCGTTGAGGGCCCACTCTTTGAAGGTGCTGTGGAAGGAGGAGACGGATGGCACGGAGGGAGGGAGAATTGAGGTCAACTCAAATGCAGGTTTCAGAGGGCGCAAAGGAAATGGAATCAGGGTGCAGGAGGAGAATGCCAGGTGTACAGGACAATCACATGCTTACAGTGCAATGCCATGCTTACAGTGCAATGACATGCTTACAGTGCAATAACATGCTTACAGTGCAATGACATGCTTACAGCGCAATGACATGCTTACAGTGCAATGACATGCTTACAGTGCAATGACATGCTTATAGTGCAATGACATGCTTACAGTGCAATGACATGCTTACAGCGCAATGACATGCTTACAGTGCAATGACATGCTTACAGTGCAATGACATGCTTATAGTGCAATGACATGCTTACAGTGCAATGGCATGCTTACAGTGCAATGACATGCTTACAGTGCAATGACATGCTTACAGTGCAATGACATGCTTACAGTGCAATGGCATGCTTACAGTGCAGTGACATGCTTACAATGCAATGGCATGCTTACAGTGCAATGACATGCTTACAGTGCAATGACATGCTTACAGTGCAATGACATGCTTACAGTGCAATGACATGCTTACAGTGCAATGACATGCTTATAGTGCAATGACATGCTTACAGTGCAATGGCATGCTTACAGTGCAATGACATGCTTACAGTGCAATGACATGCTTACAGTGCAATGACATGCTTACAGTGCAATGGCATGCTTACAGTGCAGTGACATGCTTACAATGCAATGGCATGCTTACAGTGCAATGACATGCTTACAGTGCAATGACATGCTTACAGTGCAATGACATGCTTACAGTGCAATGACATGCTTACAGTGCAATGACATGCTTACAGTGCAATGACATGCTTACAGTGCAATGACATGCTTACAGTGCAATGACATGCTTACAGTGCAATGGCATGCTTACAGTGCAATGACATGCTTACAGTGCAATGACATGCTTACAGTGCAATGACATGCTTACAGTGCAATGACATGCTTACAGTGCAATGACATGCTTACAGTGCAATGACATGCTTACAGTGCAATGGCATGCTTACAGTGCAATGACATGCTTACAGTGCAATAGCATGCTTACAGTGCAGTGACATGCTTACAATGCAATGACATGCTTACAGTGCAATGACATGCTTACAGTGCAATGACATGCTTACAGTGCAATGACATGCTTACAGTGCAATGACATGCTTACAGTGCAATGACATGCTTACAGTGCAATGACATGCTTACAGTGCAATGACATGCTTACAGTGCAATGACATGCTTACAGTGCAATGGCATGCTTACAGTGCAATGACATGCTTATAGTGCAATGACATGCTTACAGTGCAATGACATGCTTACAGCGCAATGACATGCTTACAGTGCAATGACATGCTTACAGTGCAATGACATGCTTATAGTGCAATGACATGCTTACAGTGCAATGGCATGCTTACAGTGCAATGACATGCTTACAGTGCAATGACATGCTTACAGTGCAATGACATGCTTACAGTGCAATGGCATGCTTACAGTGCAGTGACATGCTTACAATGCAATGGCATGCTTACAGTGCAATGACATGCTTACAGTGCAATGACATGCTTACAGTGCAATGACATGCTTACAGTGCAATGACATGCTTACAGTGCAATGACATGCTTACAGTGCAATGACATGCTTACAGTGCAATGGCATGCTTACAGTGCAATGACATGCTTACAGTGCAATGGCATGCTTACAGTGCAGTGACATGCTTACAATGCAATGACATGCTTACAGTGCAATGACATGCTTACAGTGCAATGACATGCTTACAGTGCAATGACATGCTTAGAGTGCAATGACATGCTTACAGTGCAATGGCATGCTTACAGTGCAGTGACATGCTTACAATGCAATGGCATGATTACAGTGCAATGACATGCTTACAGTGCAATGACATGCTTACAGTGCAATGACATGCTTACAGTGCAATGACATGCTTACAGTGCAATGACATGCTTACAGTGCAATGACATGCTTACAGTGCAATGGCATGCTTACAGTGCAATGACATGCTTACAGTGCAATGGCATGCTTACAGTGCAGTGACATGCTTACAATGCAATGACATGCTTACAGTGCAATGACATGCTTACAGTGCAATGACATGCTTACAGTGCAATGACATGCTTACAGTGCAATGGCATGCTTACAGTGCAATGACATGCTTACAGTGCAATGGCATGCTTACAGTGCAGTGACATGCTTACAATGCAATGACATGCTTACAGTGCAATGACATGCTTACAGTGCAATGACATACTTACAGTGCAATGACATGCTTGCAGTGCAATGACATGCTTACAGTGCAATGACATGGTTAGAGTGCAATCACATGCTTATAGCACAATGAGATACATGCTTACAGTGCAATTACACGCCCATCGCCATCACACTTCACGTGATCCATGCTGTCGCAATCTCTGCCCTTCATCCATGTGCTTGCATCCCGCACATCGTCCCATTCATGTGCTAGATTCGTCAAAGCTTCCACTGCCATGCATCCAGGACATCCACCCATGCCATGCACCCATGCCATGCACCCATGCCATGCACCCATGTCATGCACCCATGCCATGCACCCATGTCATGCACCCATGCCATGCACCCATGCCATGCACCCATGTCATGCACCCATGCCATGCACCCATGTCATGCTCCCATGCCATGCACCCATGTCATGCACCCATGCCATGCCCCTATGTCATGCACCCATTCGATACCCCCCATGCCATCCACCCATGCAGTACCATTCACGGCAGCATGTCATGCCACATCACGTGTTGAAAACATTCCCAAGGAGAGGCGAGAAAAGCAAGGAGAGGGAAGAGGGATGGAGGTGGGGATGTCAGGAAGTGCAGCTGCCACCATCAGTGATGGTGGTTGCTGGTGCGGGCCTCATATTGCATGTTGAATCGGGTTACGGTGTATGGGCGGTATGGAACACGGCATGGCTGACTGTCTGGGACCTCAGTCTGTCAAAAGGAGGAGGAGGAGGTGGAGGGACGCATGTGCGTGCAGCACGGCTCACTGTCAGCACGGCTCACTGTCAGCACGGCTCACTGTCAGCACGGCTCACTGTCAGCACGGCTCACTGTCAGCACGGCTCACTGTCAGCACGGCTTACTCTCGGCTTACTCTCGGCTCAACGGCTTACTCTCGGCTGAACGGCTTACTCTCGGCTTAAAACCGGAGGTCCAAGAGTTTCTAAGTTAGGAAGGTTGAAAGATGAGAGAAAGGTGACTGGCTCGCGAGCCAGGGTGGTGTCGAAATTGGTGGTCTGGGGTCGCAAAGGAAGAAAATTTCGCGAAAATAACCAGATCTGGAATGCAACGTCAGAACTGGTTCGCAGACAGTTTCGGACGGGCTTCAAATTTGTTGGCGAAATCGTCACTGCTTTCGTCCTCGCTAGAACAGTTTTTTTCGCGTGACGAAAATTGTCCCCCCGATTTGCGAAGTGAGTCGGTACCTACTGGGTCACCCCTTCTCAAAGTTAGGAAGGTTGAGGCACTTTGGGGCTGTTTGGGACTCCGGTTTTAACGGCTTACTCTCGGCTCAACGGCTTACTCTCGGCGTCCACCACGGGAGCAGCGCGTGCGAGGGGCATGCAGCAGCGCGCCACCACCAGCGCCACCAGCGCCGCTCTCGCCGCCACCATGACGCCGCGGCGCGTTTCCTTAGCAGCCCACCACCCCATTGATGGTCTCGCCCGAGAGCAGGTTTGTACAGTGGCCCTGCTCCCAGGCTGGAATACGCCCTTAGAATTCTCAAAGAACAGATTCAGCCCGAGAGCAGGTTGTACTTGCCCGTACGCGGCGTGACCCGTGAGGAGACACTGCTGTTGCTATTGCATCTCTGTCGTATCGTGAACCGCTTGCGTGTGCGCGTTTTCAGGGGCCGCGATCGAGACTCTTTGAACAAAACAGAATTATAATTGTTGCCGGGAACGTAATCTCGACCATCTAGTTCTCGTCTTCGTGTTCGTCCTCGTCTCTCATAGGAACCATGTGAATCACTGATGCAAGCAAGGTGCACTCTCGGACTCATGAACGGATGAAGATGCAGCATCTCAAATCAGCTTGCTGCTGTTGCGTAAATCGGAGAATGGAAGGTTGGATGGTGTGGTGCTCGGTTGCACCAAAAATTAGTTGGAGTTCAAGACCTCGCCTTCATCTACAGATTCTTCACCAAGTGCAGCCGTTTCAAAACGTAATGGATCTCCCCAGATATGCACAAAACGCTCTGCACCGCACAGCAGCGTCGGTGATATCTGAATCAGGCCCTGAAGAAATTGATGACTCGGGTTGACCTTTGGTTTGTGGAAACGTGGGGTGTGGTGTGACGGTGGAAAGATGACCCCTTATAAAACTATTCCCGCATAGCGCATTGCAGCTAGTAGTATATTTCACCTAACCTTGAAATCTTGTCATAGTCATCCGTAACAGAGCGCTAGTCTGAGACACCAGAGAAAATCAGAGTTGCACTATCTTTGATTATCAGTAAGAAGCGATTGTAGAAAATGTGGCTACTCAGCCACTAACAACAGTGCCACTTGCCCACTTTCCAATTGAAGACCTCAAAGAGGGTGCACGCAACATTGTATACCTTCTAGAAGAAAACATGGCACGAGACTAAACAAAACAAAGTATTTCCTGCCAGCCCCTCACCTCCTCATTCTCCCTTACTCATCTGCTGTGCTCCATGGTCACACCAGCCGGCGCTTGCATGGCTGCCTTCCCACCACCTCCTTCCACACCCTTCATTTCACCGCAACCACGACACCGATACTCATGAGTCTCCCCATCCCCTTTCACCGCCTTCCCCTGCCCCGCCCCTTGCTCCTCACCCGGGGTCTCATCGGGCAGGTGAGGGAGCATGTGGAAGCGGTAGTGCCGCACGGTGCGCACCTCTTGGCACAGCGAGCAGCACGGCAGCACGTACCACGACGCAAAGTCCGTCGCTGCCTTGTGCCCGCAGCACCACACCTGCTCCTGCAGCAAGAACGTCCGCCGCACCTTCCACCGCCAGTACCCGCCATACGTCACCCCGAGAAAGCTCCCTAGCACGCCCAGGCTGAACACAAACCACTGCATGGTGGTGTTTGGAGTGTTGCGCGCACCCATCGTGAATATCACAATAGGTCCAAAGATAAAGAATATGAACGTCGCAGTGAAGACAATCCTGTTGCCGAACCCAGCTCGCTCCACGTGCCGTCCGTGCACACAGAAACAGCAGACTGTAGAGCTGACTGCACTCCACCATCCGCCAGCACAGCAGTCAAACACAGTCCCCTGCCATTGCGGCCCCTCCCGTTGCAATTTTTCATCGTCTGATCTCTCCCCTTCTGGCTGCCACACTGGAATCCGCCATTGCTTCGGATCCTTCAGCGTCCGATGCCCCTCCCCCGCCAGTAACTCCTCGTATTCCCCAAACCGCCTCGGCGCGGGCGGCTTTCCGCCTTCCGCCAGCGACGGCTCCTCCGCTTCCGCGCACTGCTGCTCCTCCCCGCTTTGCTTCCCCGTTTCACCGTGCGCCTGTCCGTCCGCCACCACCACTACCACCTCCGCCTTTCCCTCGCCTGCTATCACTCCGTCGCACAGCGCGCACGGCGTCGCTTTTGCTCCTTGCGACTCGCCTGCGACACTGTGCGACTCGCTCACGGACTTATGCGACCCTGTGCTACTCTTCCCAAAGCTTCTGAAACTTCTACGAACGGGAGGGTCAGCCGTGGCCCAGCCTAGAGGGCTGAAAATGCAGTACAAACCCGCTGTGAACGGCGAACCCAGAGCGATACAAACGAGGAACGCAATAAGGGGTACGGGGCGCTGCGGTTCAGGAATCGTCCAGAGAATGACCTCTATCGCGTACTGGAAGATGCAGTTGAGTTGAAGCAGCGTCAGCACGACCGACATGTGGAATCGCTCGTCCGGCTTCGCGACGAACGCGCCCGCCGCCGACAGCAGCGCGCGAAGGCTCGCGACGTCGATGCGGTTCCAGCGAACCAACTGCACGACGTAGTAACACCGGAGCGGGTGCATAACCAGGCAGCTAACCGTGCAAACGCCGTTGAGAATCTGATTCGAAAACTCGAACCACAGCTTCTCCTCTGTCCCGCCGAAAGCCCTCCATATGCCCGTGAGCGTGAAGAAGAGCAGAGCGCCGGAAACGGTCAGCATACCGATCATAACGAGGGTCGCTATGGCGATGGGATGCTTGAGGGCCTCGGCGGCCTTGGCCAGCGGCTCGCGCCATTCCTGCGGTAAGTAGAACGGGAGAATGAACGTGCCGCCGCAGCAAAGCTGGCTCTTGGGCGCGATGGGCACGCACTGACACGACGCCGCGCTTTCTGCCGGGTCTTGGTGCCGCCCGCTGCCACCGCCGTCTCCGCCACCGCCGCCGTCATCGTCGCTATTGCGCGTTCCTCGGCTGCCGCTTCGCTCCGCCACTGCGGCAGGGAAATGGCTGGACGACTGGCTCGTTTTCTGCGTCGCGTTTTCTTTCCTCGTGTCGCCGGACGGCTGCTGCACGGAGGGAAGCGCCGGGATGTCAGCGGACGCGCCGGGGAGGGAGCCGCGAAGCGACGCGTTGTTGCCATCGCAAAACGAGGTGGAAGAGGAAGTGAAGGAGCCGAGGCGGTCGTCGTGGGCAAATGGCGTGGTTGACGAGGTGGACTTGTCCGACAGCACGGGGAACGGCGCGTTGCTTGAGAAGATATTAGGTCGCCCATTGGCCGCACCAAAACGGTCCATGGCGTGAAGACCCAAGCTGCGTTTAGGTGAGGAGACTCACGCGGAGTAAAAGGCGAATCAGCAGGCACAACGGACGCGGTTTAGGTGGGCCAAAGCTGAGGTAGCGTGCAGCACATGCCCGTGACACATGCGACGTGGCTGCTGCTACTTCTAACCTGCCTGCTCTTTGCGTTGGTGGGTCAGTGTGGAGTGGACAAACAGACTGCCTGCTGGGAGGGAATGGTGGTTGTGAGTCAAGCGAAAAAGCGTTTGCACTTGTCTCGAGGTTTGTTTGCCGTGGATGGATGGACATTGTGGGAAATTTTAGAGAGGGATCAAACAGACGGCCAGATTTGAGTGGCGGTGGAGGACGAGGCAGGGAAGAGCACAGCAAACGTAGATCTGACACAAGGGGGGAGACACCAACAATTTTGCGGGATGTCCTTTTTCTTTGTGCTAGGTGGCGCAGTGGTGTGTTGGTGATGCTAAGTGTACAGTATTCCCAATGCGTTGCAACTCCCTCACCAAGTTTTGCAATGGAAACGTTTCTTTGTTGCTAATGGCCCTGGTTTTGAACACTACCGAGGCGCGGTGGCATCGGTTGGTGACTTGCTCGCCTCGTTGGCTATCGTTTGAAGCCCAGGTCCACAGTCAGAAGAGGGCGTGAAGGGTTTGAGTGGACTGGTATTTCGAGTGCGTAGATGAATAAGACTGCTCTTTGAGTGTGTAGTAAATAAGACTGATCCGCTGATATATGACTCACTGAGACCGGAAACCAATTGTGTGTTCCTGTCTAGAATGTCTCTAAATTATTAACCTGCGGTACAAGGGCCCTCTCTTGTTTCACAGGGTAGTCTCCTTGTGACCAGGAAGCTCGAGGGCATCGATATTGGAATATGGACGTCAGCCGACTCGAAGCACGGACAGCCACACTGGGAACTGTGCGACTTGAACGCCACTGGGAACTTCCCCCGCGAAGAGACTGCTTGCAGAGGGTACATCACTGAAACATCCCCCCTGGTTGGAACTCAGATGTGTTTGGGAAGGGATGGAGAATGGTGAAACAAATATTCGCATCCTAGGGGCTGCTCCCGACAGTATGTCTGACTGCGGCTCAATAAGGCGTGGTACGATCTGGAGCGGTCATATCAATATTTATACCGGTTGTATTTGCTAGACCGTATTTATGTTTCTGAGGTTTCGTTCCCAACTGTTACGAGTGCAATTGAGTGAACGAACGAGAATTGCACTATCGAAGCAAGAGTACAATGAGCGAAGGCATGAGCGAAGAATATATAGCGAAACTACAGTGGTAACGGTAATGGACTGTGGTTGTCGCGCGACGGGCCTGGGGCTGAGGTTGGGAAAAAGTGTCGAAGCGGAGGCCCGGAGCGCGGGTTACCCGCCGAGCCGTGAGGTCGGGGTGCGATGTGCGAAGGTGGCGGGCAGATTGTCGATGCGAGGGTTGCGAGTGGTAACGGTGCTGACTGTGGTGCTACAGTGATGTACGCGTTGAGCAGGGATGCGAAGTAAGGAAAAAGGAATTTTCCTTACACTACCCCCCCCCCTTAAGGAGGTCCTCCTTACGAGAGTGCGTGTACATCCCTGAAATTTCGGCTGCGCAGATACTCGGTGAGGACGGGGTGGTTTTCGATTCTGTCCAGGGGAACCCAATTGTCTTCGGTGGGTGTACGGTCCTTCCAGCGGAGTAAGAACTCGATCCTTCGGGCTCCTCGAGGGTCGCGAACTCTGTGACTCAGGATTTTTTCGGGGGTGATGATTGGTTCAGTTGGTGGTCTTGTCATGCTGGTTGGGCGATTGCGTGGCAGTTGGCTCATGGACGGGACGTAAGGGCGAAGTAGGCTGACGTGGAATGAGGGGCTGACGTACCAGTCAGCAGGGAGGAGGAGGTGGGCGGTGACGGGTGTAAGCATGTGGCTTATGCGAAATGGCCCGCAGTATCGGGGGCGGAGTTTCGGAGTGATGGGCAGTCGGAGGTTCTGAGTGTCAAGTAAAACTAAGTCGTCGGGCTGGTAAGAGACAGGTCTGCGGTGGCGGTCGGCGTTGCGTTTAGCGATGATGTTCGATTTTTTTATTGCGTCTACTGCCCGGGTCCGTGCTGCTTGTAATATTTCGGCGAACTGTTGTGCTCGTGGTACTGGGTTGTCGGGATTCGGGGTCATGGGTACTGTCAGGTCTTGTCCGTAGTTTAGGTAAAATGGTGACTGTTGGGTCGTGGCGGATGGCGAGTTGTTGTACGCGAATTCGATTAGTGGCAGTTGCTGTTCCCACGTGGTCGGGTCGTCACACGTGGCCCTGATGAGCTGTTCCATGGTCTGATTTGTCCGTTCTGTCTGTCCGTCGGTTTCGGGGTGGTATGATGAACTGAACTGCAGTCGCGTGCCGAACTGCTGCCACAGGTTCCGCCAGAAGTTGCTGGTGAATTTTGTGTCGCGGTCGCTGATGATCGCGGCGGGTATCCCGTGCAGTCGAACGACGGTGGAGATGAAGAGGCGTGCTGTTTCTTCGGCTGTGATCGATTTTTTGCAGGCTGCGAAATGTGCCATTTTCGTTAGTCGATCGACGACGACCAGGATCGCGTCGTTCCCACTCGCCCCGGCTGGTAACCCCGTGACGAAGTCCATCGTCACCTGCTGCCAAGCACGCTCTGGGGGTGGTATCGGCTGCAACTGTCCCGTCGGCCGCTGTCGTGATGATTTCATGAGCTGACAAGTGGGACACGATGCCACGTGTCGTTGTACGTCGGTCAACATTTCGGGCCAGTAATAATACCGCTGCAGCTGCTGCCGTGTTTTTTCTACTCCGAAATGCCCCGAGGTAACTCCGTCGTGTGCCTCCTGTAACAGTAATTCCCGTAGCAGTGTATACCCAGGTACCCAAATGCGGTCAGTCCCGGTTTTTACGTAATAGACTCCCTTTGCTGCTGCGAACTGCTGCGAATTTCCTCCTGTGAAGAATGGATCCGTCTGGTACCCGTGGGTGAATAGGCCTGTCAGTAGCGGGCTTGTCTGGGCGAGTAGTATTGCGTGGATCTGGGCAGTGGGGCGGGTCAGTGCGTCGGCGATGTTCGAGGCTCCCTTTTTGTAAGTGACCGTATAGTGAAAGTTGGACTCGAGGAAATCGAGCCAGCGAATCTGTCGTGGGTTGAGGTGTGGCTGTGCGCGAAGGTACTGTAGTGATTTATGGTCTGTCCGTACTGTCAAGTCCGCGCCAGTCAAGTAACAGCGCCATACTTTGAACGCGTGCACGATCGCAAGCATTTCGCGGTCGTGTATCGGGTATTTTTTCTCGGGCGGATGCAGTTTTCGTGACTCGTATGCGATAGGCTGTAGGCCATTGCCGAAATCCTGTAGCAGTACGGCTCCGATGGCGATATCGCTTGCGTCGGTAACTACTTCAAATGGGCGGTGCGGGTCGGCGATGCGCAGGACGGGCGGGGAACAGAGAACATTTTTCAGGGCAGAGAAGGCAGCATGCTCTTTCTCCCCCCACGTAAAAGCGACCCCCTTCCGCAGTAAGTCCGTTAGTGGGGCAGTTAACCGTGCCATATCGGGGACGAACCGACGCACATAATTAACGAACCCCAAAAAGCTCTGTAGCTCCGTGATGTTCGTCGGGGGATGCCACGCTTTTACCGTATCCAGCTTCTTTGGGTCGATTTCAACTCCAGCCTCCGAAATAACGTGCCCCAAAAATTCTAACCTATCCTGGAAGAACTCGCACTTGGAACCCTTGGCCAGTAATCTGTGCTCGTCTAAAACCTTAAACACCCCCTTAAACGGCGCGGCAGCTGCATTCGTCGCAACAGCGTGTACAGTGGCGTGCTCGATCGGTCCCCGAGGACGATGTCCATAGTAGGACCCCGGTCTCGGACGGCGTAAAATGTCGATTTTCTCGGCGAGCGCGAGAATCTCGTTGAAGTTCGAGAGCCCGCGTAGCATGATTTCGTGCGAGATGTCCAGCTTCAGCCCTCCGACGTAACGGTCCACCCGCTCCGCTTCGTGCATGTAGCCGACTTGCTCGCATAATGCGAGAAAACCACTCGTGTAGTCTTGAACCGATCCGAGCTGCCGCCAAGTGCGCAATCTCTGACGCGCCGAAATAGAAGCCGCGATCGGCTCGAAGCGCGCCCGAAGCCCTGCGCACCACGCATCTCACGTGCTGTATTGGGCGGTCTCGCAGAATGAACTCCAGGTGACAGCTGGACCCGTGGGCCCTTCCTCTTGCAACGGTGGCTCGTAGGCGCGTGGCGACGTCACGATGACTCGCCACCAGTCCATGGCGGGGCCCCTTAGCAGCGAAACTGCATACCGAATCTTCGCTGCGTCCGACTCGACGTAATTTGCGTCGAAGAAGACGTTCATCGTGAAGACCCACGATTGAACCGTCGGACCTCCACGCTGGCTCGGGTCGAAGCAGGGCGGGCGTTGCGGCTTGAGTGGCATTGGTGCCATGATGGCCTGTTCGCCACTTGTCGCCGCGAACTCCACGTGCCGACGGGCTTCGCGAGGCTCCCGCGGGCTTGGTGCGACCCTGTTTCCTCCCATGCCAGGCATCGGCTGGGCGGCGCCATCGCTGGCTGCGCCTGAGCGCTGTCCCACGCTGTTGTTTTGTGTTGGTGTGCCGGACGAGATGACGATCGGCTCGTCTGATTGTGCGGAGGCATTTGTCGGTGCGTGTGGTGGCGCTGGAGTGTTCATCGTTGATTGCTGACGCGCGGAGTCACGTTCCGCCGTGAGCGTCGCAATTTCGACCGCCGAATCTTCGAGTTGGCGCCCCAGACGGTCGAGCTGCTCCTGCGTCAATGTGGCGAGCGTGAATTCGGCCATGGCGGGGGTGTCGGGCGAGCTCAGCGAGAGCCTCAGTCGTCGCCGTGCGTGCTTACGAGAGAGCACTACGAGCGGCGGTGCTGTGTTGCTGAGAGACGTCCACCCCCCCCAAAAATTGAGATTGTGGGGAAGCGAAGGTGTGGGTGCGGTCCGAGAGGAGATCGTAGGCTCTGAATACCAAGTGTTACGAGTGCAATTGAGTGAACGAACGAGAATTGCACTATCGAAGCAAGAGTACAATGAGCGAAGGCATGAGCGAATAATATATAGCGCAACTACAGTAGTAACGGTAATGGACTGTGGTTGTCGCGCGACGGGCCTGGGGCTGAGGTTGGGAAAAAGTGTCGAAGCGGAGGCCCGGAGCGCGGGTTACCCGCCGAGCCGTGAGGTCGGGGTGCGATGTGCGAAGGTGGCGGGCAGATTGTCGATGCGAGGGTTGCGAGTGGTAACGGTGCTGACTGTGGTGCTACAGTGATGTACGCGTTGAGCAGGGATGCGAAGTAAGGAAAAAGGAATTTTCCTTACACCAACTAACCTCGGGAGTAGGAGTTCACAACTACAGTTCATACAGACCTTGTAACGTATGGCAGGTCGTATCTAGAGGCACAGAATGTTGCAGAACACAACTATTTGATTGACTAACCCTCGATAAGAGGCCTCGTTTTCATTCGTGAGCATCATCCACTGGCTAATCTACATCACCAAAATCGGCTAATTTCGCAATAACAAACGGTTCAGAAATTGTTCGTTGCAAGTTTCACGCCCGAGGTCAGTCTGGATAGTTTAGCCGTGAAAACCAGAACCGTGCTTAACCGTTGTGTAGCGTGCTGACACGCTAGGCGAACCTTATACAAATGGAGTACATGATCTAGGTTACAAATTCGAATTCCATATCGTTTCACGTGTAACAATAAGAGCGCTACCCCACTGCGCGTTCTCTAAGTAGCATCCCTCGATTGTCGCTAATCGTAACCGCTCTGATAAGCGCAGGACACCATGTCGAAAGACCCCGCAGCGCACGCGTTGGCGTTCCGCGTGATGCGCCTATGTCGCCCCGCGCTACAGGCGGATCTTCCGCTGCGCTGCTCCGCGCACGACCTCTGGCTGGGGGAAGACGACCCTCCGCTCGCCTCTTCCGCGCCCCCGCCCCCCGACGACGCCGTCAGCACCGCCGCCACAGGGCTTGGCGGAGCTGGTCTCAGCGGCGCTGGGGGGGCGCGCGCGAGTGCGGGGGACGGGGGGTCGGGGCGGGGGTTGGGTGTAGTAGGCGCGGCGACGGCGGCGGCGGACAGTGATAAGTACTTCGCGAGCCGCGTGGAGCTGAGATCGCCGCTAGACGCGCTAGGGTTGTCAGGCATGCTGGTGCTGCCACAGTCGTTCGGGTAATGCGCGCTTCTTTCCACTTCCCCCTTTCCCCTTACCCTCTCCCCCTTCCCCCTACTGGCTGTAGGCTCAAAACTAACCACCACCCTGCTTCACCCTGCCCTCCACTCCCAAGAGACACACGCACCTCGTGTCCAACTTCACATAACTCTGTTATCACTCCCTTTCCCCCTCCGCGCATCCTCCCTCTCCCCACCCGACCATCACCCCACCCACCTCCCTACCCCTACCCTCTCCCCTTTAGTCCCCCCTGCCCCATCCTTCCCCCCACTTACTCTCACATACCAGCATCAATCCTCTCCCCCGCACACCACCCATGACAAGTGCTCTCGATTTGAGATGTGCGTATCAAAGAAGCACGGCTGCCCCTCGCTCCCCTGCTGCAGGTCTATCCATCTGGGGGAGGCGTTCTGCAGTTACATCAGCGTTGGTAACCACAGCGACCGCCACGTCAGCAACGTCGTCATTAAGGTCAGAAATTTGGGGGAAAGAGGAGTGGTGGGGAAGGGGGGGGGATGGTGAGGGGGAGAGAGAGACAGACGGATAATTTGAGAGGGATTGGAGGGAGGTTTGGGGTGTGGTGAGAGGTGGGACGAAAGTTACGTCGCAAAAGTGGAGGCACTGGGTGGGGTGAGGCGAGGGTGATGAGCAGGGGTTATGATCGTGTAGCTTCCGACCCTTGCATTGTACCATTCTACAACGTTGCTGAGCTGAGCTGCTGTTTTGACAACAACGCGATGGCTCGATTGTGCTCTATTGAATGAAGGCTGCAGCGAAGCGAACCATCCAAGGTTTCTCTCTTCCGCAATTATCCATGGTCCCAGGCGGAGCTACAGACAGAGCGGCACAGAGTGGTGCTGGCAGACAACTCGAGCAGCCCTCTGGAGCGCATTCAGGCGGGCGGCAGGCATGACTTCATCATCGAGCATGACATCAAGGAGCTGGGGTCGCACACGTGAGTGCCGCATGGGGCATGGGTGTGGGGGATGCGCATGGATCATGGGTATGGGGCATGGCAATGGGCATGGGCATGAGCATGGTGTGATGTGGAGTGCATGGCATGTATGCTGCACACATGAGACATGGTGGAATATGAGAAATTGTAGAAAGGTTGAAATAACAGAGTCGAGGCCACATTTAGTCGAACCAGTGTTGAGACACAAATCAACAATCGCACCACTCATCTTATTCGCGTTTGCTTTTGGCTTCCTCCCCTCCAACCCTGCTTCGCCCTCCCATCCTGAGCCCTCCTCCCAACCCTGCTTGTTGTCTGTTGCATGGCAGGCTGGTGTCTTCAGCGCACTGTATCGACTTTGGCGAGCACAAGGTGGTGCTGCTTGCCTTCCTTTCATCCCTCCACTCTCTTACCCTGCGCCCGCCCTCCTCCCAACCGTGCGTGTGCCATGCGTGTGCCATGCCATGGCAGGCTGGTGTGTTCAGCGCACTACATCGACTTTGGCGAGCACAAGGTGCTGCCGCAGTACTTCAAGTTCATGGCTGCCAACCCCCTCTCCGTCAAAACCAAGGCATGCTTGCGTGGTCGCAGGGTCGCATGGTGGAATGGGGGCAGGGCATGGGGGCATGGGGGCATGGGGGCATGGGGGCATGGTGGCATGGGGGCATGGGGGCATGGGGGCATGGTGGCATGGGGGCATGGGGGCATGGTGGCATGGGGGCAAGGTTGAATGGTAACAGGCTGGCAAGGTGGCATGGTGACACTTGATCGTGCTTTTCTTATCCAAAGTTGCCCCTCCCCCACGAAGGTCTTCCTTGCCTCTTCCCCTCTCATCCATTTTCCTTGCCCTTCCCCCCCTCCCTCCACTCCACTTTCCAAGTGTCTAACATCCCTGAGGCATCATGAAACCTTCCGTCTCACTCCTCCCCCTGCCCCTTTCACCCCCTCACACCCTCCCTCCCTCTTCCCCCCTTTACCCACCCCACCACATCACCTGTCGTCCCCACCACCTGCTCATTCAGGTGCGCACCATCCGCGAGAGCACGTTTCTGGAGGCGTGCATAGAGAACGGCAGCAAGGCAGCGCTGTTCCTCGACCAAGTGCGCTTCGAGCCCACTCCCGCCTGGCAGGTGAGATGAGGCACAGCACTGGGGCCGGGCAGGTGAGATGAGGCACAGCACTGGGGCCGGGCAGGTGAGATGAGGCACAGCACTGGGGCTGGGCAGGTGAGATGAGGCACAGCACTGGGGCCGGGCAGGTGAGATGAGGCACAGCACTGGGGCCGGGCAGGTGAGATGAGGCACAGCACTGGGGCCGGGCAGGTGAGATGAGGCACAGCACTGGGGCCGGGCAGGTGAGAGGGCCAAACTCCCAACGAGGTGGCGGAATTCGTGCCTGGCTGGCTGTGTGGCATAAGTCGCTTGTGCCTGTTCTTGCTTGGGTGATAGTTGTTCAGTGCCCAAGTGTCTGTCTCAGTGGCAGGTAGGGAGGAAATGTGGTTACGTATGGATGACGTGGTATTGCAATGTGTGGTGGGTGTGCTGGCAATGGCATGCACGGTTCTTTTGATCCGTGCAACAACTCATGGTTGCTCACCTTTGTGCTCCTTCTCTGGCTTGTCTGCGTACGAGCGAATTCATGGGCGCATGGGTGCATGGGTGCACGCATGCATGAACGCATGGATGCCTGGGTGATTGGGTGCATGCATGCATGAATGCATGGGTGCCTGGGTGCATGGGTGCATGCATGCGTGCGTGCAGGTGGCCCAGTTAGAGCCGGAGTTCACAGGCAAGGAGGAGGAAGAGGAGGAGGATGGAGAGGAGGGCGCCAGGGAGGAGTGGGGAGGCGCAGCAGTGGCAGATGAGGAGGACGACACAGTCACAGGGGTGGCATGGAGTGAAGTCAGGTGAGGGGCTTTTGAGATTTCTCAAAAGCAGTCAGGTGAGGGAGATGGTTGAGTAAGGGGCTGGAGAGAGGGGTTTATTGTTGTGGGTGTAGGGTGCCTTGTGAGTCGACTCAAAAGTCACTTTGGCGCCAGATGAGATGAGGTCGACACAGTCACTGGGGGGGGGTGACGTGGGGTGGGGCCAAGTGTGCTCCAGGAGAGGGGTGAGGCGAGTGGTGTGTGTATGTACGTGTTTGAGGACGCGTCCTTGAGGTGTGGGATACGGGTTAGAGAGAGGAGAGCGAGACGAGTGTCGGGTGAGAGTGAGTGCTGCAGGGAGAGGGCGTTGCATGAGGGGTTAGTGAAGGGAGAGAGAGGGCATGAGCTTAGTTGTTGACGGGTTGTTGACTGTGATTGAAAATGGCAGGAGTCTTCTTGGGACGTCTGAAGAGATGGGAGGGAGAGAGGGCATGAGCTTAGTTGTTGGGGCTTCAGAATGGCAGGAGTGTGGAGTGGAGGTATGGAAACACTTGCCGCTTGGTTGCTGGGCACACAGGTGGTGCCTGCCTTTCCGCTTTGTTGTCGCTCTAAGGGAGCTTTCTTTCACCTTATACCAGAAGAAAGAGAGAAAGAAAGTTCCTTCATCACCTCGTTTCCTCCCTCCTTCCGCACCTCGTTTCCTCCCTCCGTCCGTCCGTCCGTCCGTCCCTCCCTCCCTCCCTCCCTCCCTCCCTCCCTCCCTCCCTCCCTCCCTCCCTCCCTCCCTCCCTCCCTCCCTCCCTCCCTCCCTCCCTCCCTCCCTCCCTTCTTCCTCCCTCCCTCCCTCCCTCCCTCCCTCCCTCCCTCCCTCCCTCCCTCCCTCCCTCCCTCCCTCCCTCCCTCCCTCCCTCCCTCCCTCCCTCCCTCCCTCCCTCCCTCCCTCCCTCCCTCCCTCCCTCCCTCCCCGTCCCCATCTACCCAACCGCAGGGCGCTATTCAAGCCGGTGGACCTGATTCGAGCCAACGGCGGGACACGGCACTTCCTCTACCACCTGCACAGAACGCCCCCACCCCCTGCTGCCGCCGGGGGAGGGGGGGCGGGGGAGGGAGGCGGGGGCCTGGCGAAGGTGGAGGGGGGGAACACGCTGGGGCGGCTGGAGATACTCTGGCGCTCCACACTGGGGGAGCCGGGGCGACTGCAGACCCAGCAGATACTGGGGAATGTGAGTGGGGAGCAGGGTAGGGGGGAAGGGGGATGGGGAAGGGGGGACGGGGTGTGGGACAATGAGACCAGTGTGAAGAGGGTAGAGGGGGAGGAGGGAGAAGAGGAGGGATTGAATGAGCGTTATGGGAGTTGGTTGTGATTGGAAATGTGTGGGGAGAAGGGTTCATACAAGCAGTCGTGTTTGCGTCCTTCCGTCCTGCAGCAGCCCTTTGTTCTGTTCAGTTATCATTCACTGGTACTTTTATTCTATCCCACGGTCCAACCGCACTCCCTCCATGGTTGCTCCCCATTACCATCCATCTCATTCTTAGCAGCAAGTGTGTTCCCTCTCCCCTCTGCATGCGTGTGTTCAAGCTTGCAGACATCCAGAATCTCTGTTCTGCTGCTGTCCAACCCCCCCCCCCCCCCCTCTCCCCTCACCATTCCTCATCCTCACTGCCCACTCCTCCCCCTCCTCCCCCTCCTCCCCCTCCTCCCCCTCCTCCCCCTCCTCCCCCTCCTCCCCCTCCCCTTCCACCTGCCCCCATCAGCCCATAGTGCAGTGCGCAAGGAGGTGGAGTTGAAGCTCGTCAGCCTACCCAACAACCCATAACGCCCCCCTCCTTCCGCTGCCACTCCCCCACCCCTTCCCCCCCTTACCCCCCACCTCCCCCCATCAGCCCATAGCGCGCAAGGAGGTGGAGTTGAAGCTCGTCAGCCTGCCCAGCAGAATCGTGCTCGAGCGACCCTTCCTCGTGCGCCCCTTGCCTTGCCCGCCTCCTGCCCTCCCTCCCTCCCTCCTCCCTGCATCCCCCTGCCCCTCGCACCCTCTCTTTGCCTCTTTCCGGGTTTTCCTTCCCCCCTGTATTTTCGAATGCCTTCCTTACTTTCTTGTGCTCCCCCCTGCCTGCTCCCCCCTGCCTGCTGCGCCCTGCCTGCTGCGCCCTGCGTGCTCCCTCCTGCCTGCTCCCCCCTGCCTGCTCCCCCCTGCCTGCTCCCCCCTGCCTGCAACCTCCTGCTTCAGTTGAGGTGTCCAGCTATCAAACCCGTTGTGTATAGTATATGCCATCAAACTCCCCACACCCCCGCTTACTTCAAACTCCCCACACCCCCGCTTGCTTCAAACTCCCCACACCCCCGCTTGCTTCAAACTCCCCACACCCCCGCTTGCTTCAAACTCCCCACACCCCCGCTTGCTTCAAACTCCCCACACCCCCGCTTGCTTCAAACTCCCCACACCCCCGCTTGCTTCAAACTCCCCACACCCTCGCTTGCTTCAAACTCCCCACACCCCCGCTTGCTTCAAACTCCCCACACCCCCGCTTGCTTCAAACTCCCCACACCCCCGCTTGCTTCAAGCCCACGCCATGCTTCGTTCACCATGTCTGTCTTCATCCCCACCATGGTTCCTCCCTCCTTCCCTCACGCTCCTCCTCTCCCTCCCTCTTCCCTCTCGTTCCTGGCCCCTGCCCTGTCCCCCGTCCCCTCTACCCTCTGCCCCTGTCCCCTGCCATCTAACCTCTGCTCCCTGCATTCCCCCCGGCCCTGTCCCTCTCTTTCCCCTCCCCAGGTGCACTGTCGAGTGCACAGCAACAGCGACCGCCCTCTGGGCCCGCTGCGCATAGTCATTGCCCAGGACGAGCCCGTCATTAGCCCTTCTCCCATCCCTCCCTTGTTACTGTCTCCCATTCCTCCCTTCTTCCTTTCCTGCCTTCCTTTCTTCTTCCCTTCCTCTCTTCCCCCCTTCCCCCCTCCCCCTTTCCTTCATCCCCCCTTTCCTCCCATTCCTCCCTGCCCCCCAGGTGCACTGTCGAGTGCACAACAACAGCGACCGCCCGCTAGGCCCGCTGCGCATAGTCATTGCGCGGGACGAGCCCGTCACTACCACCACCCCCAGAGCCATTGTTGTCAGCGGCCCCTGGACCATGGTGAGGTGCAGTGCGGTGGAGTGGGGAGAGAGTGGGACTTGGATGGAGCATGGTCCGGCTGAGTGCGGTGGAGCTTGGTGAGCATTGGGCATATCTGTTCCATGCAGCGTAGTCTCACAAGATCATCATTTGGGTTTGTCCGGTCAGACGCCAAGCTTTCATGGGCGAAGTGAAATCACAATGATTTTGAGCCGACTCGAAAGAAATCACAATGCCCCACTACTTCGTGGATGGAGTCCCAAGAAGGGCCAGGGAAGAGAGGGGCAGAATGACGAGTGTGACACATTGATGTTTCCATTGTTTCTTGTCTCCTTTCGTAACCTCCTCCTCCTCCTCCTCCTCCTCCTCCTCCTCCTCCTCCTCCTCCTCCTCCTCCTCCTCCTCCTCCTCCTTCTCCTCCCCCTCCTCCTCCTCCTCCTCCTCCTCCTCCTCCTCCTCCTCCTCCTCCTCCTCCTCCTCCTCCTCCTCCTCCTCCTCCTCCTCCTCCTCCTCCTCCTCCTCCTCCTCCTCCCCCTCCGCCTCCGGCCCCCGCTCTCCCCCTCCTCTCGCCCTCCCCTCCTACCCCCTTCTCCCCAACAGACCATCATCAGCATCGCTCCAAACTCGTCAGCGGATTTCAACCTGGTGGGCCACCATACCTCTCTCCCAATGCTCCCAAGCACTGTTACCAACCACATGCACTTTCCTCCCATCTTTTTCCCATATCGCTCTTCCATGCCGTTCCATGCCATTCCATGCCCTTCCATGCCATTCCATGCCCTTCCATGCCCTTCCATGCCATTCCATGCCCTTCCATGCCCTTCCATGCCCTTCCATTCTGGCTTATCTCGTATCTTTTCCTTCATCTTCTTGTTTTCCATCGTTTTTTTTCTCGCTCTAAACATCCTCCTTCTGCATCCATCCAGCGTCCAGCCCTGACCATCCTCTTCTCTACGCCTCCTCCTCCTCTCCACCACCCACCACTCCTTCCCTGTCTCATGCGTGCTCTCATCTCCCGGTGTCCTGTACCCACACACATGCCCTCGTGTGCCACGATTCGCCTCAAACCCCCTCCGTGCCAGTCCATGGTTGCACTAGCAAGTGGCGTGCACAAGATATCAGGGGTGGGGGTTGTGGATGCACGGGACTCCAAGCCATACGATGCACTCACTCCCACCGAGGTGCTTGTCCACTCCTATTCACATCACATGCACCGATGGCACATGCCTCCCACCACATGCCTCCCACCACATGCCTCCCACCACATGCCTCCCACCACATGCCTCCCATCACATGCCTCCCATCACATGCCTTCCATCAGATTCCTCTCATTGAATGTCTCCCATCGCATGCACAACATCCCTCTCGTAACATCATAATTCACGCATGGGCTCAAGATTGCAGTGTACCTGCCCACTATGGCGCATGTGCTATCTCATCTGTGTGCACCCCTTATCAACTCTCTTTCATTCTTGTGTAGGTTTACGTGGAGCTGCAATAATACTCGCAAGGAGGATACATTGTGATTCACCTTTCTTTTACCGCATACTCAACCATGATGATCCACTACCAAACTACCAGTAGGTCACGTGTACTGTGTATCAGCATAGTGCACTGCTGTCTATTGCGATATGTGTTGGGCTGAGAAAAGCCCTTAGGATCTTTGCAGAACTAAACTCTGAGTAGGAACAATGTAATAGCGGCAGGCCCTCAGATTCACTTTAAGGGACGTTGATGCATCAGGGTCCCTGTGAACAAAACCCTGATTTTCAGTGTTCCTAAAAAAAAAACCCTGAATTTTCAGGGTTCCTAAAAAACAAAGCCTGAATTTTCAAGCAAATGAAAACCTTGCATACAAGGGTAGGCTTTACGAAACATGACAGCGGAGGGATTCGAACCGGGCCATTACCCGTCGGAAGAAAATCACTAACCACTGAAACAGTTGATCCTCTAAACCGTGAATCTCTTACCTTGTCGTACCTGAAAAACCTGAAAATGTTGGTTGACAGAAAGGATTCGGAATGTGCATTCAGTGTACACTTCGATAAAAGACTGAAAAATCAGTGCCAACTATGAAATAAAGGCTGAAAAATCAGTGTCACAAAATTCTCAACACTGAAAAATCAGTGTAGGTACAAAAAAATCCCTGAAAATCAGGAATTTCAGGGAAAAATTCCTGATATCGTAGGGCCTGAATAGCGGAAGCGTTTAATGATAAGCCTGTGAACCACCTTGCGCTGGTACCGTCATCGCCCGGATATAAGACATATATGTCTTATCTCATACACTAAAAAAAATGCTTGGGTTATCTTGTATTTGGGGAGGTTTTGGGTGTCTTATAAGTCTTATAAATGGAAACTTTTTTAAACTACTTAGAAATATTTTCACGCATCTTGAAAAGAGTTTCTCATTAAGAGTGTGGATGGTTCAAAGGTGCCACTTCGGCAACCATTGTTCGGGACGCCACGTCATCTCGAATACTTGCAGAGGCAAATTTGGTAGTACGTGAGTCAGCACGTGGCAGAATTCGCGTGTCGCAAGGGTAAAGATGTACGCGGCATTTCAATTTTCACTATAATACATGCAGTTTCGATTATAAGACACATATGTCTTATCTCGTACACACAAATAGGTGTCGTATAAAAAGGCTAGCCTGTTTATAAGAGACACCCGTATAATAGACAACCCCTGTCTACTATTCAACACTGTCTTATATCCGGGCGATGACGGTATGTGAGGGCAAAGTAGATTAATCAATCAAAGAGATACAAGGCTTTTATAAGAGTACCGTACAAGGAATATGAAAAGATGCAACTAATAACTGTTTTACTGTTTGATGTTGCAGTTCGATACAGAGACGACTCGGGCAACTGCTCGATAACGAGTTAGTTGTTTGTCCTTGCTGTCGCGCTGTACTTGTCAGGTCAAAGGTCGCTGACCTTTGACTTTCGCGTAACCTCCAGCAGTTGCTCAACCTCCGAGGGTTGACTTCGCTGATGCTTCGCTGTGTTTCGCTTCGTTTATGACTTAGTGTTTCGACGCGACAGAAGCGCTTAAATCACTTGTTTCCAACAATATGAAACATGGAGATTTGGGTCAGCATTACTAATATTGAACGATTGGCGTTTTGGGTGTATCAAGGGCGTAAATGATCGGCTAGGACATCAAAGGCTATGCTTGTGGAACGTGATTACCGGTAGCAGAAACCTGAACATCAACTCTTTCCTATTTGGGTTTAGTCCCCTATTTCATGCTGCAAAGTTGGCAAAGCAAAGCCAATATGAAGAAGGCAAAACCACTAGCTTCATACAGTTCGATATTAGCTTGAACTTGTAAGTGACTGGAACAGGTTGTTAGAGTAGGTTGGTAGGGATGGTTGACTATCGAGGAAGTTTGGGTACAAGGATGAGAACCCTAAGGGGTTGTGCCCTACATTGGCTACCCCACTACAGCCTAAACAGATATAACATGCATATAATTGACACACCCCCATAGGCAAAGTGGGGGAGAGCAATGGGTTACAAGACTTGTCAAGAGAAGCAAAGCAAGCTCAGGGTGGATCACAACGTCACCACACACACTGAGCACAAGCAAAGGGGCCACAAGGCCAGTTCACATGCAGAGGTATATATGCAACAACAACAATACAGTGATCTCTACCTAGCAGAGCAAGTATGCATATATATATATATATATATATATACATATATATATCACAGTACAGACAAAGTCTACAGCAAGTGAGGAAACATGGGCACAAGGCCTAACAGAGTACAAAAACGCTGATGATCACCAGACGGAAGTGCCTGTCAGAACATTATATAGCTTATGCTGTTGTGTAGGCTATAGTGGGGTATCCCATAGGGGGTACAACCCAATTAGGGTTTTCCATATGTACTCACCTCATTCATAGTTCATTCATCCTCGTTCTTCATTCTTCTCATGGTATCGAGCAGGTTCCCTCGTGGGAACTGTTCCTAGGGCCCACCGTTTTTTTTCCTGCCCGGAGCGCACTCTGCCCCTACCCGAGTCGCGCTCCCCTCTCTCTTGGCCCCTAGTGGCCCCTTTAGCCGCCCGTCACGGCCCTTAGACGCCCGCGCGCCGCCCGTCCCGGCCCCTTAGACGCCCGCGCGCCGCCCGTCCCGGCCCCTAGACGCCCGCGCGCCGCCCGTCCCGGCCCCTAGACGCCCGCGCGCCGCCCGTCCCGGCCCCTAGACGCCCGCGCGCCGCCCGTCCCGGCCCCTAGACGCCCGCGCGCCGCCCGTCCCGGCCCCTAGACGCCCGCGCGCCGCCCGTCCCGGCCCCTAGACGCCCGCGCGCCGCCCGTCCCGGCCCCTAGACGCCCGCGCGCCGCCCGTCCCGGCCCCTCGACGCCCGCGCGCCGCCCGTCCCGGCCCCTCGACGCCCGCGCGCCGCCCGTCCCGGCCCCTCGCCGCCCGTGAGCCGCCCGTCCCGGCCCCTAGACGCCCGCGCGCCGCCCGTCCCGGCCCCTAGACGCCCGCGCGCCGCCCGTCCCGGCCCCTCGACGCCCACGCGCCGCCCGTCCCGGCCCCTAGACGCCCGCGCGCCACCCGGCCCGACCCCTAGACGCCCGCGCGCCGCCCGTCCCGGCCCCTCGACGCCCGCGCGCCGCCCGTCCCGGCCCCTCGACGCCCGCGCGCCGCCCGTCCCGGCCCCACGCCGCCCGTGAGCCGCCCGTCCCGGCCGCGCACCGCAGTCCCGGCCCCACGCCGCCCGTGCGCCGCCCGTCCCAGCCGCGCGCCGCCGTCTCGGTCCCCACGCCGCCTGTGCCGCTGAGGAGCTGAGCCGCCCGAGCCGCCCGAGCCGCCCGCACCGCCCGAGCAGCCCGAGCCGTGCTGCCCCTCAGCAGCACAACCGAGCCGCCCGACAGCAGAGCAGCCGAGCCGCCCAGCAGCCGAGCCGCTCAACAGCCGAGCCGCCCAGCAGCCGAGCCGCCCAGCAGCCGTGCCGCCCAGCAGCGGAGCCGCCGAGCCGCCCGGCAGCCGAGCCGCCGAGCCGCCGCGCCGCCCTCCTTCCGGGCCGCCCGACCTGTCCAGTCTGGTGAGCACATCGCCCTTTCACTGCACTGCCCTCACCCTACTGTTTGCGCTGCCAGTCGTCTAGGGTCATGGCTACCCCTAGTGTTCTAGTCTTTGACGCTGAGGGTCGGGCCATTGACTTTGAGGTCTGGGTGGATGACCTGCAGCTGTTCTTACAGTGCGATAGGGCAGATGGTCTCTCTCTCTTTGACCTCACCTCTGGCGCCTCCACTGCCCCTGCTGCTGACGCCGACGCCACTGTTCGCTCCCAGTGGGCCACGCGCGACGCTGCTGCACGTCTTGCTGTGCGTCGCCACCTCCCTACCTCCGAGCGTGCACACTTTAGTCAGTACAAGAGTGCTCAGACCTTGTACGACGCTGTAGTTGCGCGCTACTCCTCCCCTACCACTGCTGCACTGAGCCGTCTCATGCTACCGTACCTCTTTCCTGACCTTGCTGCCTTTCCCACAGTCGCTGACCTCATTACGCACCTCCGCACTAGTGACACTCGCTACCGCGCTGCACTCCCTGCTGACTTCTGCGCCAAGAACCCCCCCCCCATGTACATCACTCTTTACTACATAGTCACTCGCCTTCCTGACTCCCTTCGCGTAGTCAGGGACCACTTTCTCTCTGTCTGTCCCACCACTCTCACTGTTGACCTCCTCGAGAAGTCCCTCCTAGCGGCCGAGAAGAGCATAGTCGCTGTAGGGGCCTCTCGTGGTGACCCGCGCACCCCCATCTTTGAGGGGTGTTCCCCCTCCCCCCTTCTGCCCTCTGTTGCCTCTGCTGCTGCGGCCGACCTCCTTGGTCTTGAGTCGGTCGGTGTGGCGTCTGCCCCTAGTGGGAGACGCCGCTCTGGCAAGGGCAAGGGGGGCAAGGGCGCTGGAGGAGCGAGCGGGGGCGGTGGAGGTGGAGGTGGCGGCAGTGGGGGGAGTGGGGGTGGCGGTGGGAGTGGAGGTGGGGGTGGAGGAGTCGGTGGCGGCAGTGGAGGCGGAGGTGTCGGCGGCGGTGGCAGTGGGAGCGGGGGTGGCGGAGGTGGCGGCGGCGGAGGCGGAGGTGGAGGCGGCGGCAGTAGCGGAGGCGGCGGAGGCGGAGGAGGCGGCGGGGGTGGAGGTGGTGCTGGTCGCGGGTCTTCGCAG